GTTTTAGAGTTGCTTCTTTCGCTTAGCGCTTCTTTCACACCTGCTCATTAGCGAAGAAATTAGAACAGTGACGCTGTTTTCCAGCTGTCAGTTGAGCCTGCCTCGGGAAAACAGTAAAACATAATCTACAAAAGCTTACTTCCACATCATTTAAACGGCTGCGAAACTAAATAAACTTCAAAATAATGAGTAGAAGGAATTTGGCTTGAACATTCTATGAAAAGCACAAAAGTCCTCTTGCTTTTCAGTCTTTTCCAATGCTCACACTTAAGGACATCTAAGCGAACGAAAATTACACATGCAGTGTTATTGAGTTCAATTATTTTATTGAGCTCAGTAGTCTTTAAAATTGCGTATAAACAAAGCGAAATGGTACAAACTCCGTCCCACAGTTTCAAACTTTTTAAGCGTCTTATTGTTTAAAGTCAGTGAAATCAAAACGTATAATAAACTGATCATAAAACGCCATGACCAACTCCCCAAGTTAATTTGAAACCCATTTCAATCAGCCAAATCAGTTTCCCTGCGAAAAACAAAAAAAAAAGAATAGCAGAAACAGCTTTTAATTGTCTGCATACAACTCGCCATAAAGTACTTCGAATATGTTATCTTTTTATTAATTAATGGCTTCATTACTCACGCTTATACCTCCGAACAAATTACTGTTTTCAAAGCCATTAAGTCAAACGGGAGAATAAGAAAAGGCTTTTGGATTACACAGACACACCTGTCATTGAAGGAATTATTTTAGCACTGAAAAACCGGTAGTTCTATAGTTTAATTGTTTTTAATGTGAAGGTTTGACTTCTTTGAGCAACCTAGATAAACCAAACTGAAACATATTCATTTCAACTTTTCTCCTTAAACAACTGCTTAGTCTAAAGAACAATTTTGTTTAAACTTTTACAATCTCAACTAGTTGGCAATTTAAGGCCTGTTCTTTCTGAAACAGCTCTTTTGAATCAAGAAATGCAAACTTACATTTTCTTTAATAGCGCTATGGGATGCAAGGTAATCAACTGTCAGTTAATTGTTGATTAATGTGCCGCAGTTCTTTCTCTTGTTTTAATTATGCTTGGAATCTCGGAATCAGTTATGTCCACGATTGTAATCAGCAAGATACTTTTACAAAGGCGCCGTAAAGGAGCGCTTTTATTTATTTTTTCTTATATATAAGATTCAAGTACACGAAGTTTTCGACTACAATGAGCAGTTATTTGAAACGAAGAGAAGGATCGAATCAAGACAATCAGTCATTTGGCCATGTATTGGTTAAAACTTAAAACTTGGAATTAAAACACTGTAATATCTTAGGCTTTAAAGACCTGTTCTACCTGTTTTATCTACCAATGCCCGCTTTCGATCATTAATAACAATTAGGGCTTGAAATGTTCACAAACCCCCGCGATCACATTAATTGAAATTACAGTTGTCCGACCAGTTTGGCACCAAGGAGGTTTAAATGAGAAATGATCGGCCATTGGCTGTGTATATTTTGTTATTAGAAGGTATATAAACTCAACGCTCTGTAGTCCAAACTGAAAGTCCTTTAAGTTAGAGGCTCTACGACTCCTTTCCTCTTGGGCAAGAGGGAAACTGCAATTTTCAAGTAAGATTCGCTTTGAGTAGATATTTTTTCCGGCTTATGAAAAAAAGCTTTATAAGAACTGACATTTTTAGGGGAGGGCAATTTACGTATTATCATTCTAAACAAACGTGCGTATAGGCAGCCTTCAACGAAACCAAAACAAATCTCAGTCACTTAGACCGATTTCAGCTTAAATCAGAAATACTCATTGTAAACATTCTACTATTTAGCAGAAGACGAGTCAAAGCTTCAACAAGGAAGACGGACTTGGATACTGTGTGATTTCCTTTTACATCACAATAAGCAGTTTCACTCGAGTGTTCGTTATTAACTAATACTGATAGCTTGAAACGGTTTTGGTTTTAGTTTCCGGTCTTTATATCTACACACAGATTCTGTCTACACATTAACGAAAACTACCAAGCATGGAGAAGGCCTGGCTCTTTGTCGCATTGGTGTTGGTGCTTATCATTGCCACAGAATCGGTTCAAGGGGGGCCTCCATTTCGCGAAGAACGCGTTGGTAAAAGGTCCACTCCTAAGGTGATGTTCCATTCGTCGATCCTAGTGATCTTTTTTTTACAGGCCAAAACAAAGATTTCCAGTGCTTCTATTTTAGGTCAAAGACTAAAAAACAAAACCTGCAGTGAATTGTGACTTAATTATTTCGTAAGATTTTGATTCTTCCCCTCTGGTAACAGAGCGGTTAACACGCAACATTAATTACATGCCGGAAAGAAGGCAGCCCTAGAAATAATTTCTATCCTGTTTTTTTTTGGAAGAGTCGACGAGCTATTTTATATATCTTGACGCACGTGTTTTTAAAGATCTTAGCGAACATCTATCGAGTATCTAACTTCTACTTCCGTAGGCAGTCATCAGGAAGAGGGAGTATTGTGCCAGAGCAAAGCGAATCTGCGGTACAGAAGAAGAAGATGATATTACCGACGGTGAATCTGCTTTCCTGAATTCTTAATAAAAGTAGGAAATCAGTCATCGACGGTTTTACGACCCACTCGGCCTTCACCTTAAAATTAACCTGTTCTTTGTAAATTGTCTAAATGTTTAGAAGGATAAACTAGAAGCATCTGCTTATTACTCTAGAAAATCATCATTGGATTTTGAAAGCTTTTCATTGGTTGTTGAGGCAGCCATAAAAGGGGATGAGTTTATGGGTCTACAGAACTGGTCTTGACTAGTTAACGCCAATTTTTTCTAGAATTTGTAAAGTAATCAAAAGCATAGTTTTAAAATGCCATAGCATTCTAAGACACCTTTTTGAAGCCAATGGTTTCTTTATTTTGTCGTGATAAAAAAGAATTCCAGAAATAAATTGTCATTAAAACAACTGGTCTCTGCCTTCGTTGGGGAGGGGTGGGGGGGGAACCTGGGGGGGAGGAGGATGGGGGGGAAGGCAGTCCTGGTGCCTTGGGATTTTACAGGCTACCAAAGCATTCAACTTACGTTAATTATTTTGACCATTAATATATTTTTTTAGTGCCAAGATTGTTATGTTTATCTGCATGCTTTACTAAATTTTCAGAGAACGAAAATAAAATAATGATAATAATAAGAAACACATCTTTTCCTGAAGTTTGTTCTTTTTACTACACATTTCTTTCGTCTAAACTCGTGATGACATCTTCTTAATTGTTTGAATTATTTTCAAGTTATACAATACATCTAAAGTCGCTTCTTCTTGGTCACTGATCGTCCGAATCTTGGCCATTGATGGTGTTCTCCACTTAGAAGCGCCGCGAAAGGAACTCTGGCCAAACGATTGTAGTCTGTAAACAACAACACACAAAATAAAATGGCGTCAAAATCGTTTAAACACTCCTTTGTTCAAAACAGAGAACTCTCGACTTTTTAAAGAAATATCTATTTCATATATTTTTTTTTTCTCCCCAAAACTTTTAGACTGAACTGAACGTCTTTACAGAAAAGGCACATTAAGATTTGTTCCAGAGGATAATTCATCACAGCCACTCTGCCCGCTATTGACTTCTCGCGCTTTTCAGTTCTGTACATTTCTTTTGAGAAAGTCACCGCCCAATGACGCGATCATCTGAACCGAGAAAGAGGTTTCACAGCTAGCACGATCTCACCAGTTTTTTAAAGACCTTGGTTGATAGTCCGTCCGGGGTCTGAACTCACGACCTTCCGTTCAGCAGACCAGCGCTCTTCCAACTGAGCTAACCGGGCGGCGGTTGAAAGTTGGATCTTTACAGTATCTTCAAACATGGCAAATCATAATTTGAGTTAATCTTTTTGAAAGCTTTAGCATCAGTGATTTAAAAGGAAGCGTCGAAAGTTTAAATTACTATTCTCTCTGGGAAGAAACGTATTAATAGCTTTATTTGCTTCCGTTAACCCACCGTGAATGATTTTTTTTGTCGTTTCTTGCAAATGCTGTCAACAGCGGCCACGATCGAGGTGAGTGTTAATTATCTGCAGTGCTCTTTACCTTATTAACTTGCTGACACGCACAATTTTCGAAAATATTTGCTCTCCTTTTTTTCTCCATAAATTAACTTCTATCTATGGGCAAAATTGGTCTTGCGAGGAAATCCCGAAAACAGTGACAAAGCAGCCTCGTTAATTTTGCTCTGTATTGGTAAACATTGCTTCCAGCATATAAGAAGTCAGCTACAGTAAATTACGCTGTTCGAACACCATCAACTCTTTTCGTTCCTTCATACCAGGATATTCTTATATTTTCAAAAAGTTTTTACTCTGAAACTTTGGCCAAACACCCAGTTTATGAAAGCGACTTTTTTTCAGTTTTGTTTTGTTTCGCTTTTTTTTAGACTGCTTGAACCGCGAAGAGCTCTAAGTGTGTGTATACTAATGTTGCTTATAACCCACTGGGATTACTAAATTTCAATTAAAAAGGAAAAAACGAAGCTAGTCCTCTGGAATAATTTGTCAGTAGGAAATTTCAATTCCACATATACCGCTTAGGCCTATGAGTGGAGCTCCTTTAAGATATTAACTTTATCATTCACTTGAAATAATAAAAACCCCAAATTGCTTAATTTACTCCGACCTTCGACTTTTAGACTTTACTTATAAATACTCCCAGATATTCGTTTCCTTGATATTGCTGTTGTCAACAAACTACAAACGTCAGTGCTATCGAATGATTATTCAAATTCAAATGACGAAAGTTAAGTCAATTTTACATGTTTTACAAGTTTACAGGCTTATGTCTCGCCTCGTACTAATACTAGGGTACCGGCTAGTGAGGATAAAACCCCAAAAGAGGGCAAGAAGATTTATGACAAAACCTTAAAACCGTTTTTTTTCTTTTATTTGTTTAATTGACCAAAATTAGTACTGTAGCTGCTATTGTGAAATATATACATGTTTACCTTCAAATCCTAGCCTGCCCTCTTTAAATAGCAAGGCATTTACTTACCAACATCCTTTCCCCAAAGTTTACTTCGTTCGTTTTCCCGGTCGTAAACATTACCGGAAGCTAGGTTTCTTTTCCCTTGACCTGGCATCAAACTGGTTGCGAAACTGTCAATTTGCCTCAATTGTTGACAAAGAAGAAGAAAACAGGACAAGGCCACTACACTGCCTATCTTGGTCATTCTGCCGATAAATGAAATGACTCTTGACTAGCTCTATCTCGGAGATGATTCTAACAAAATCGCTTTTGAACGCACTTTATAAGCTCTGAGAAAAACTTGGCGATTTCGTTCGAATTAATCGACCCGCTTTTCACACAACGGCGTAAACGATTAAACCATATAATCGACTTAACTTTATTTCCTTCTTTAGGGAAAATAATTTCTTTTCTGGATATTCTATTACGTGTTAATTTATTGCTTAGCCCGTTGAAAGAGATTGTACTTAATGTAAATTGTTAATAAAAATTGTAACAAACAATTATGTCAAGATACAAAAAAACACTTAAATGAGGCGACCATGTTTGACCGTTTTTTCGCGCATCTCCAATTATTAATGCTCGTTAACACCTAAATCCGCTTCAAGTCAGTAAACATCAAATGACTAGCGTTGCTTTCAATGATTAACTTTAAGAAGGGCCATTATAAGACACAAATAAATTTAGCTGGAATTGCAAAGAGAGAGACAACATATTTGGTTTTAAAGAATTTATCATGAAAAAACTCCAGCCCTTATTTTCACCACGGTAACTCTAGAAAAATAAACCGCAAGTGAAACTATTAGTCTTAAACAGGCTAATTGTAAAAGTAGTACCTGCCTTTGTATAGTGCTATTGAGGAAATTTCCTCACCTTTTTTTCATGGCAACATACATTTTGTATAAAAACCAGAATTACTGAAAATAAAAGTTATTAGAGTTCTGCTTCTTTTCATTTTTTGATTAAAATTATTATTGTGATAAACTGCACTTAATGTTAGTACCTTTGGCTGTCAATGAGTGACGGAAAAGCTTGTCAAGCTAAGGTTTAACCTCTTCCATTATCAGGCTTCGCAAAGTTGCTTTACTTCAAGTTGCATCGCCCCATTTAATAAGAACTTCAATTTATACTTTTTTTTTTCGGATGAATTAAACGTACAACTAAGATTACTTGCACTAATCGAGCTAATCCATAACATTTGCTTTAAAACTTTTAACTTTACAAGCTTAAAGGAGTTTCAAAAGGAAAATAACGCGAAACTTTTGACTAAAAACAGTCATCTTCATAGAATGTTTCCCTTTAATTTTCAAAAATTTTTGCCTCGGTTAAATAATTATGTGTGTTTTTAACTCTTCTTGCTTTCCTTGTTTAACAAACGATGCTGGGGTAAAGATCCGTTGTTATAATAAGCATAGCTTGTGTGTGATAAGGTTAAACCCTTGATGCATGATAGTTACTTTGATATTGATCATGACGTTTAGACCTCTTGCTGCATTTTATTCATGATCGATGTTGGCTGTGCGGGGATTATAAGTCAAGCCCAGTAACTACCCATTGGTGTATTTTGATAGTACGATTTACTCATAATCGGAAGGATCTCTTCCGAAAAGGCCTAAACTTTGGGTCCGCAGTTTAGAAAAAAGGTGGCGATTTTTTGTTTTGTTTAACTCCCCGCATCCTAATCACCATTGCAAAACTTTAGAATACCAAAAATCAGTCGACAAACCTCACTATAAACGACAACATGGATAAAATTGAAGACGTTGATCGATTTTCGTTGATTTAATTATAGTTATCTACTGAAACTATCTTTAAGAGGAAGCGAATTATTCGGCTAACCTCTAAATTAGGATTTTAAACGAGACCAGTGTTTAGATACGAAATAATATTTTCTAATAAATACCAAAAAAATAAAAATGAAATGAAGAAACAAAGAATGAACCAAAGGACACTAGTACTTGAAAAAAAAAGAAACCACTACAGTTGCGGTTCATTTCACTTATTAAATAAACGTGATAAATTAATCTTTATATCAAATTTTCCGTTTTTTATCAGGCTTTATTTTAATGAACGTGGAAACTTAAGCAAATGACGCCTAGTATAATTAGGGACAAAGGTCAGTCGAAAAGGATATACCCAAGTTCTCAAATCTGAAATTGTTCTAAAGTTTTGTTATTTCACATTTTGCAGTTATATTGTATGTTCTCTAGTTTTTTGTAAAATAACCCTATATCATTTTAGCCTTCGCCAAATATTATTTAAAGATTGGTAAATTATTATATTAGAATTCTTGATCGACTATTAGATTAGAAGAGAGGAAAAGCAGTTTTCTTTTTCATCTGGCTTATACAGATATCCAAAAGATTTTGAATCGAAAATATCTAATTGATGCCGAAAGAGGTAGAGGGCGTGTATTACGTAATAAGACGTTTGATTATACCTGAGACCTAGCACAATATATGAGCGTAAGGATTTTCACGTTCAAAGCGTTCTGCTGGAATTAATTCTCGAGTCAATGGAACAAAAGGCGTGGGGATTTGCGAAAGTATAAAATGAATACCAGTCGGGAAAACACTCCTGCATTTTGCAAATAATAAAATAAATGACTCTTACACCAAAGTCGTGCCGTCTTTTATGTCCTTTTTTCCTTTGGCCTGCCGAACCTTGTTCTATAATGATCTAAAATAGCTGATAAATTGTAATGAGGAAAAGCATTTTTATCAAAGTAAAGTATGGCGCACAAGCATTCACATGAAAACGAGTATATTTCAGTAACGTGTGGGTGAAAATGTTTTTTCATATCCGATATGATACTTTGAAAGTATACGTGCACCAGAGCCGCACTTTGAAACAAGAGGAAGTGTCTTATTGCGGATCGTAGGATCATTTTTTAAGGAGGGATTTGTTTTACGGAAATGTGAATGTATAAAATAAAATCTCTTTACATCTTGCAGATTTTAAGGATTAGTTAAAGAAACCCTGCTGTGACAAAAGAAGTTATTTATTTTTCTGCAAATGTTTTAATAAGAGATAAAATCAGTGTACCTTCATACAATACCATGTACTTACGATACACCATAGCTTTTCCTGGGCCTGACTGAATCTTTCCTTCTCGACGTGTGTTTTTCCTTTTAACGTTTTTGAGAAAGTGTGATTTTTAAATAATTTAAAGCATAGGCATGAAACTAAATAAAATAAATGTAACAGTTAAAAACAAATGCCTGAGCGACCAAAATATTTTCACATCGGTACTGTCCTATTTTATCTCAGTGGAACTTAATGTAGCCCAGACAATCACAACATTTCCAAAAAAGTCTTAACAAAATCTTTTTGTTATAGTGTTTCTAGTGGAGAAGATAAGTTAAAAGTTCCCTTGTCCACATGTATATCATATTCTTTGGTGTTTGTAAGTTCCTTTAAAACAGCAAGCTACAAGAAGCATTTCTAAGACAACCGATCTGCTTCAGTTATTTTGTTAATGTTGTAATTTGCGTGCTACAAACATTGCAAAGAGGGCAAGGAAAGTGTAAAATAAACCATAAAACAGCGTAAAATATTTACTTTTTAAAAAGCAACAATTGATTAAATGTCTTTTTTGGTAGTTTATTCTTTCGATAAAAAGTAGGCGTTGGTGTCGTTTTACCTACGCTATCTTTTGCTCAAAATATTAATGAGAAATCGCTGAGAGTGGGAGGGAAACTGGGATCAAGCACGCCATCCAGGGAAGCCAATATAATTGAATCGAATATTTCAAATAGTATTCTGTTATCACGAGGCCCGGAACCCTGTCTTGGCTTTTTCTTACCCTGCGGCTAGCTTAGGTTACACTATAAAAGGACTTTGGCTTTGAGAACTTCACAGTCTGTTTTCAATTGGTTATCGCTTTTGACGTAAGACGAAAGCTGGCAACGAGTATTGGAAACGTAATTGATCATGGAGACAAAAATCTTCGCTACGACGTTTCTACTTCTGTTTTCTCTTCTCTTACCGCCATCATTGTCGTTTTTAGCGCACACTAGACATGGAAAACGTGATTTAGCTCCAGAGGTATTTGAAGTAACTTGTACATACTTCCTACTAGAAAAATCGGTAGATATCGCAAAGTAACTCCACATAAAAGTTGTCGGTTAATGCTTACTCCTCAGGATTTTATCCACAAAAGCTCACAAACTTAGGCAGTATCACTACGTAAATGTAAACTGACATCACAGATATACCCACATCAAGCTTACAATCTCCATATCCAACACCTTTTACTTGTATAGTGAAAACGATTGTAAACATACAAATATTTTCAGTTAAGGATGTCATCGACAGACTCATGTTAAGATTAAGATTTATTTAACAGCTTCATATAACCTGCTGTTCTACTTTTAAGAAAAAACAAATACTTGTCGGTTGAGTCACTGACTTTAATTCCTACTCTGGTGTTCAGTTCATGAATGTTTGTTTTTTGGAAAATTTGTCATGGAAAGGCCTTAATTGTTTCTTCCTTTTTCATACACGCATTGAGGATTGAAGATACCATCTTTTTATTTTTGTTTATACTGGTTCCCTGTTTGTATAAATGAAACGTTACCTAAAGCCTTCCTTAATTGGCTTCGGTTTCTTGGCGTATTATTAAATTAACTAAAGAGCTATTTAAATAATATCATTGTATAATATATTTTCTAAAATCTTCAGGTGAATTATTTTAAAAAGCATTCAATTATTCTTAGCAATCTATAAAATATCGTAAAGACGTTTGAATGTCATTCGATACGTAATCGCTTGCTTTTCCTCTCTTTTTAAAAACGAATTTCTGAAACGTTTCCTAGGCTTACAAATTTGGCCAGTTTAAAAGGAAAGTATGGTTTATTTTATCTTATTTTTTTTAAGCCTCATTTTTTGATTAAAAAGCACTCTGCAAAAAATGGGCCGAACAAAGAACACCTCGGATATAGGTTTAAGTCAGATTTGTCCCCTTTATTTTTTATCGTTAATATCAATTCTGTATTTCTCACAAATTAAACTGTGATTATGGCAGATGTTGTCAAAATGAAATAACCTAACTTTATTCCGTCTTAAAGAGACCACGTTTTAAATTTTAGACTTTGCAACAAAGCTGTTTTGAACTTATTTGATTCAGATCATCGACTTATGGAGTTTTTTTTATGTTTATTTACCTTCTCTAAAGTAACCTTTTGTTGTATTGTATTCTTCTCTGCCCGAACCCCACCTGCGCCTGCGTGCGGGTTTATTTTATTGTTCAATCCATTCAACAAACTCACGGTACACACACCTGCAGTTTATGATAACGGAAAATAAAGAACAATTACTTGAAGTTTCTAATGGTCTTAAGAACAGGAAGTGGCCGTTTTGTTTGATTTGAGGTCGGGTATTCGACGTATACGACTTTGAACCTTTACATGGCTTTCAAACTTTGCATTTAGGAAGTCATCTGGGTTCTTCAAACTCGAGTCTTGAATTTTCTCATAACAAAATGAAAAAATTTAATTTATTTTTTATTATGAAAAATATCAAGGGATCAAGGCATGCAGATAGTTTATTCCATTAATAAATTACGGCTTAGGATTATTCGGGCTATTCCTGCTATTGTCATTAATACATATATATACATTTTCTTTTCTTTTCTTTCTTTCTTCTTTTTGCTTTACCTAAGGTGAACACCAATGCTGAACTAAGAGAGTTTTGCCAACAAGTGGAAAGGAGATGCCTGGAGAGTATATACTCTTGGAGGGAATCACTTAAAGGAGAGAAAGGACATCAAAGACAATTTAAAAGAGGCCCGAAGATAGATAATAAATTTTTCTCGGATAACAACACTCCCTGATCAACCAAACTAGTTTCTTTAAGGCCTTAAGACGATTCTTTGATTGATTACGTAACCCTCATGCAGTAAGCAGCCCTATTTCGTTTTTTTAAATAATAAAGCGTCGAGACAAAATAAACGAAACTCTTATTTTTTCCAGTTCTGAATTTGAATAAGAAATGATTTGTTTCTGCTTAACCATCGACACATGTTTTAAAACATTAAACTCTCATTTTGTTTTAAACATGTTATTTTAAAGTGTCATTATCGATGAAGTCGAAAAGAATCTATTTTTAGAATTAATTTTAGTTAACTTCTGAATCTCAGGTTAGATGAAATCTATATAAAAGCTAAGTAAAATTCTATTTAATTCTTTTGAGTATCTAACGTGCGCTTCATCCGTTATGGGGAATGGAGGGGCATTTTGTCGATTGTCAGGCACAATAATATTTGTTTTGTTTTACTCCTTTTCGTCTGTTAAATGAATTGTGTATGTCGATGTCAAAGTTAACGGTTCGTTTCCTTTTTTTCATGATCTACAATTAGCCGTTTATTTTGTCAGGGGAACTTATGCTAAAAATGACAGATAGATGTAGTTAATTTTGAGGCAACACGGCTCCTGCTACAGTGTGCCTCGAGAAAATGGCTGGAAAAGTGTGAATTCGAAAGAATAAATCCTGAAACTCTAGGATCCAGGTACGAATTTATCGCTTAAGCAGATAGATGGAGCATGACAACTTTTTTCAGCGTTAGTTTTTCTGTTTTTTTTTTGAAATTCTACTTGCTAGATTTTTAACGTTTTTTCTTTTCTTTTGTGAACCTACGAAGATACAGATACAGAATTTGATTGGGGCCGATTTTCCGATATACATTTGTTGTAAGAAGTATTTTGTTACCGAAAGTGAAAAATGAAAAATCACCCCAAAAAGCTTAGTTAAGAGGCCCAGTACACACTGGACTACGGTACTAAACGATTTTTATTCATTGCTACAGTCTTTAAAATCTTCAAGAAAATTTATATGATATGCCCTACTTGTCTGTTTTCGTCTGTTTTGATTATCACAACTTCCTTTAAATAAGACTTTACTCGTTTTAATCTGACTTTACACTGTTAATCCCCTAGCGACGGAATCGGAGTCGAAGTCGGAGTCGGAGTCGTAAGTGGAGTGGTAAGAGCGCTTATGACCTAGCGAAGATCAAAAATCGGAGTCGTAAGCGAAGTCATAAGCTCGACGGAATCGGAGTCAGAAGAATCAGCACGTTTCCATTTCTTCTGACTCCTCTTATGACTCCGTCGCTTACGTTCTGCTTATGATCTAGTGAAAACCAGATTGTCGGAGTCGGAAGAAGAAGTCGAAGGATAAACCAATCACAATGCACGTTCTCACGCTTTGTGATTGGTTTAGTTCTTCCGCTTCTGCTTCTGACCCCCACAATCTGGTTTTCACTAGATCATAAGCGGAACGTAAGCGACGGAGTCGTAAACGGAATCGGAACGCTGTTTTCACTAGATCATAAGCTCTACGCTTCTGATTACGACTCCGACTCCGACTCCGTTGTGAAAAACCAGCCTAAAGTTTGGTCAGTACTCCAATGTTCATCACTGCTTTGCTATTCCAGCATCAGGTTATCGATCATCTTTGTAGAGGTGCTGGTTAGCTTTTAACCACGCTGTCATTGATATTAGCTGTCGGTTTAAGTATTAAATCCTGCAATGTTGGATTGACGTTTCACGACTAGTTTAGATGCACAGTTTGTGTTAATAAAAGCACCTTCGGGCTGTATAACCCTGCTATTTGATTAAGTGAATCTAAACTGAGAACTTGGCACAACAAAAAAATCATTTGACCATCGCCTTACTCTCTCTTAACCAGTATTTTATCCTTTGTGTTTGTATTATCATGTCTGAATCCACACTGTATGTCAACCCTATGTGTACTTAAAAATCATGCCTCTCTAATACGGTGGTACGTCTCTTTTCCGTTTGTTTAAAGTCAGCTGATCTGGAGTCAAAGTGGAACGCTTGCCATTCGACGCTGTGCTCTTCTTGTGTCCTGATGTAATTGACAAATTAAAAACAAATTAATGCCACAGATCAGTGATTATAACAATTGTCATATCTTTTAAACTTCATGTATCAATAAACGATTAAATGAATTAATATAATTATATCAACAAAACAAATTTCCACGTGCTTGATATTTTTTCTTCAGGCCCGTTAAATAAATGATTATATGCAGTCTGTATTAGTTATAACAATTAAATAGGGCTCGTGGCAGAGTTGTCATTAATACATATATATACATTTTCTTTTCTTTTCTTTCTTTCTTCTTTTTGCTTTACCTAAGGTGAACACCAATGCTGAACTAAGAGAGTTTTGCCAACAAGTGGAAAGGAGATGCCTGGAGAGTATATACTCTTGGAGGGAATCACTTAAAGGAGAGAAAGGACATCAAAGACAATTTAAAAGAGGCCCGAAGATAGATAATAAATTTTTCTCGGATAACAACACTCCCTGATCAACCAAACTAGTTTCTTTAAGGCCTTAAGACGATTCTTTGATTGATTACGTAACCCTCATGCAGTAAGCAGCCCTATTTCGTTTTTTTAAATAATAAAGCGTCGAGACAAAATAAACGAAACTCTTATTTTTTCCAGTTCTGAATTTGAATAAGAAATGATTTGTTTCTGCTTAACCATCGACACATGTTTTAAAACATTAAACTCTCATTTTGTTTTAAACATGTTATTTTAAAGTGTCATTATCGATGAAGTCGAAAAGAATCTATTTTTAGAATTAATTTTAGTTAACTTCTGAATCTCAGGTTAGATGAAATCTATATAAAAGCTAAGTAAAATTCTATTTAATTCTTTTGAGTATCTAACGTGCGCTTCATCCGTTATGGGGAATGGAGGGGCATTTTGTCGATTGTCAGGCACAATAATATTTGTTTTGTTTTACTCCTTTTCGTCTGTTAAATGAATTGTGTATGTCGATGTCAAAGTTAACGGTTCGTTTCCTTTTTTTCATGATCTACAATTAGCCGTTTATTTTGTCAGGGGAACTTATGCTAAAAATGACAGATAGATGTAGTTAATTTTGAGGCAACACGGCTCCTGCTACAGTGTGCCTCGAGAAAATGGCTGGAAAAGTGTGAATTCGAAAGAATAAATCCTGAAACTCTAGGATCCAGGTACGAATTTATCGCTTAAGCAGATAGATGGAGCATGACAACTTTTTTCAGCGTTAGTTTTTCTGTTTTTTTTTTGAAATTCTACTTGCTAGATTTTTAACGTTTTTTCTTTTCTTTTGTGAACCTACGAAGATACAGATACAGAATTTGATTGGGGCCGATTTTCCGATATACATTTGTTGTAAGAAGTATTTTGTTACCGAAAGTGAAAAATGAAAAATCACCCCAAAAAGCTTAGTTAAGAGGCCCAGTACACACTGGACTACGGTACTAAACGATTTTTATTCATTGCTACAGTCTTTAAAATCTTCAAGAAAATTTATATGATATGCCCTACTTGTCTGTTTTCGTCTGTTTTGATTATCACAACTTCCTTTAAATAAGACTTTACTCGTTTTAATCTGACTTTACACTGTTAATCCCCTAGCGACGGAATCGGAGTCGAAGTCGGAGTCGGAGTCGTAAGTGGAGTGGTAAGAGCGCTTATGACCTAGCGAAGATCAAAAATCGGAGTCGTAAGCGAAGTCATAAGCTCGACGGAATCGGAGTCAGAAGAATCAGCACGTTTCCATTTCTTCTGACTCCTCTTATGACTCCGTCGCTTACGTTCTGCTTATGATCTAGTGAAAACCAGATTGTCGGAGTCGGAAGAAGAAGTCGAAGGATAAACCAATCACAATGCACGTTCTCACGCTTTGTGATTGGTTTAGTTCTTCCGCTTCTGCTTCTGACCCCCACAATCTGGTTTTCACTAGATCATAAGCGGAACGTAAGCGACGGAGTCGTAAACGGAATCGGAACGCTGTTTTCACTAGATCATAAGCTCTACGCTTCTGATTACGACTCCGACTCCGACTCCGTTGTGAAAAACCAGCCTAAAGTTTGGTCAGTACTCCAATGTTCATCACTGCTTTGCTATTCCAGCATCAGGTTATCGATCATCTTTGTAGAGGTGCTGGTTAGCTTTTAACCACGCTGTCATTGATATTAGCTGTCGGTTTAAGTATTAAATCCTGCAATGTTGGATTGACGTTTCACGACTAGTTTAGATGCACAGTTTGTGTTAATAAAAGCACCTTCGGGCTGTATAACCCTGCTATTTGATTAAGTGAATCTAAACTGAGAACTTGGCACAACAAAAAAATCATTTGACCATCGCCTTACTCTCTCTTAACCAGTATTTTATCCTTTGTGTTTGTATTATCATGTCTGAATCCACACTGTATGTCAACCCTATGTGTACTTAAAAATCATGCCTCTCTAATACGGTGGTACGTCTCTTTTCCGTTTGTTTAAAGTCAGCTGATCTGGAGTCAAAGTGGAACGCTTGCCATTCGACGCTGTGCTCTTCTTGTGTCCTGATGTAATTGACAAATTAAAAACAAATTAATGCCACAGATCAGTGATTATAACAATTGTCATATCTTTTAAACTTCATGTATCAATAAACGATTAAATGAATTAATATAATTATATCAACAAAACAAATTTCCACGTGCTTGATATTTTTTCTTCAGGCCCGTTAAATAAATGATTATATGCAGTCTGTATTAGTTATAACAATTAAATAGGGCTCGTGGCAGAGTGGAAAAGGAAATAATATGGCATAAAGAATAACTAAATAATTAGAATACCCCCCACCGCCATAAAAAAAAAAAAAAGAAAAAAAAAAGAAAGAAAGAAAGAACAAACAATAATCAGAAAATAGTCAAACCTAAAAAGTACAGTAGTGGAATTCGGTTTATGACTATGGCGGTAACATCACAGCGGCATATTGTGATGTTACCGCCATAGTCATAAACCGAATTCCACTACTGCCAAATACCTTGCACGTTTCCACCTGCAGGTCGTAAACAAGTACTGAGCATGGTTGATTCAACCTGTTCTTTTGTATTTACGCATGGAAACGTGCAAACAAAGCAAGCGGTATTCTTTCTTGTACTATATTCAAGTTAGTAATTTTTTTCTTTTGTCGGTGTTCCAACTTCCTCTTCCATTCTGTGCGCGATTTATCTTCCGCAATGTTTTTCGATTCAATGTGGCTTTTTTCCCTTTATTTTCTTCAGTCTTTTACCACTAGATAAACACAATTCGTTTGGCTCGCTAATAGTCAACAAAAAGCTGTACAACACTGAGGTTGTGATGGACTAAGGCTTGGAGTTAGAATAAAGAAGTGCTCTAGGAAAAAAAATTCTGACAAATTGTCCAACGATTAGTTATTCAAAACTCCATAGTGAGGAAATAAGATAAGATAAAAATAAAGTTTATCCTTTAGGTAAAAGTAGAGAACACAGGATCTGGACTTTAACTTTTCTTTCTTACTTTTTTTTCAGAATAGTAACTCAGCAATTCAAGTATACTCTATAGTGATTTTCCAACAAATAAATGGCCAATAAATTGCCAAGTTCTCAGTTTAACCTACTCAGAGCTTCATAAATCAAATTGGCTATCAAATTTTGGTAATTAAGAGTGGTATAGAATAGTGATTGTTATTTCTAATTTAAAACAAAACAGTACCAAATTGGAAACGCCGTGCAAGTTCTTCCTTAAGACGGAAGACACAAAAGCATCTTCCCGTCTTTCAAAACGTCTTCTTTGATCAAGTCGCCTTCGTCGTCTGTATTTCCTCCGTTTTGGCCCCTCAAACGCATCAGAACTTGTCCGGCTTAACAGCTCACAGCTTAGAATAAACAATAACGTTATGAAGACAAATAACTTTTTGGACTCCATATCCCTAATTCGCAACAATGCTGCCTCTGGCTGTTAACAAGTTTGTGATGATTCATCAACTGCTTTGAGTTTTGAACTACATGAGATCACGAACAAGACCTCCTGAGGCGCTAAGTTACGTTTCTGTTTCGATTCATCTTATTTCAGTCTTATAATTCAATAACGGAATATGTGTAGGAAGACCACCCGAGGTGATGTGGTGATCTAGTATTTATGTTTTGAATGCACTATTATTGGTCTTTGGTTAAGGCAGGTTATGTGTTTTACCTTGGTAATTATCATTTACGTTGTTTACTGACATGCGAAGAAGGAAACTTGGGGAAATAGCTTTGTTATGTTTTGCATTTTATTTCTAGTAATGCTAACGGAACTATTCATGAGTTATGTTCCACCGTAAAGGTGTTCGTCATAAGTAAGCAAATAGTTTGTTATGACTTACTTATAAGCATTAAAGTAGGCCGGCGCCGCCGGCTTGGCAATTTGTGACCTTAATGATAATGACAAGATAAAGTAAGCTGGATTTTTAAAAACACAAACTTAGCGAAATTTGGCGCCATCTGCGTCGAAAAGGGCCAGAAGGAACGCTTTTTTGCGTCCGATGACGACCGAAATTCACAAGTGACGAAAGAAAAGAAGAGAAGTGATTTTAAGTGCGAGGAGAAAGAAAGGACGTGGTGGGGTGGGGGGATAGAATTGCATTAGTTACACTTTTAGTTTTTATGTTAACTATGTTGGTTTATGTTGGAGATGAAGGAAAAGGCCTATTTCGCGACCTAATGTTCTCAAAATCCAGCTCAAGATATAAATATTGATGTACAGCTTTTTTTATCTGCATTCGTAGAACTCAGGCAAGGAACTTCAAAATTTCAGTTTCACTTTGAACTACCTCGGTTGCCTGTATACTGATGGCCTCAGGCGTGATTCGGCTTTTTTTGGTGTTTATTAGAGTCACCAAATGAATGGATTTCTTTTAGATATTGGCTATGGGGACCACCTAATGCTAATAAAAGGTCACCTAACCAGGCACCTCTACTAAATATATTTTTAAACTTTAAACTGACCCCACGAAAGCTATAATATTAATAGAGCTTCATAAAACTGAAAGCATTCTCAATTTCATTAATTCAGATACAGCTCAATGCCTTGTTCCTAACTATCGTCTTATGGAAAAAAAATACTAGTCCCCCCCCCCCCCCCCCCCCAAAAAAAAATCAAATCAAATATATATATAACAAAAAAAAAACGAAATGGCTTTTCTTCTTCCTTTTTATGGACGAAGTTAACGGCAATCTGCATGTGTCCTTGATAAAACTCGCCCTTCAATTTATTTCATATACAAACAAACAACAAACAATTCAACATCATGAGACAAACAAGAGTTGTTGTCGACATGTGCAAGATGCATTTCATGTTATTATGGCACCCCCCAACTTCTTTCAAAAATTGAAATGCTAAATAAAAAAATATATATTCCTCATCGTTTTATCTAACACGCTCCGTTTGTCAAACTTAGGCAGATTTTTTTGAAGTCGATATCTTAAATAACGTTACACGCCATCCATGAAGCGTAGTTATTAACATTTTTTGATGGGGAACTTACGAATGAACTTACACACTAACGTTATACCGCTTCGTTCTCCCTTTCTAGTAGACGAGCGGCGACCCTAAACTAAATTAAAGTTCAGGCTTTCCCGGCGTTATTTTTCTTTTACGGCCCCCAATACATTTTTCGGGTTCAGGGATACGGTTTTATTTGAAGGTTTGGATTCAGAATAGGGCGAGATTCGGGATCGAAAGTCGGGTTTACGGATTGAGCCAAAATTTACGCCCGGATGACGGGTGGGATTGAAGAATCCTGGACCCTCTTATGCCATAAACTAGTCTGAAAATTTCCTTACCATTTGCCCAAACTGTGATCCGACTGGTTTACCCTTGTAAACGGAAAAGAGCCTTTTTGTCGTAATCTCGTAGTGAGGGTCAAAGAATGGGACCAAAAAGTGTGACGATACACGCTTAGTGAAATTGATTATATTACCCTGTTTAAACTTTGAGATCGACTGAAGACCATGAAAATCAATTACCCTATTCAGCGGCACATACCCGTTTAGGCCAAATAAGTGAGTTCCACCGGAGGGAAATTAAACATTTTTTTAAATTCATATATATGATGTGTTTTTGATATCGCTAAAACTCATTTAATTTTGATACGATTCTTGCAATGGGGATGACCAGTCGTTTAAAAGTGATGTTATACGAGACTATTGCGACGACGATTTTTAGGACAACAACGTTGAAACTTTCGTTTTTACCATTTGATAACAATGTTGCGACAATGCTGCGACGCTGTGTTACACTGATAATCGTCGTTGTGAAACGTCCGGTGTAGCATGGCCATGTTAAATGCTGTCATCGTCGTCAGTTTGATAGCCTGCGTGGCAGGCGTTCGAAAGGGAAGGGGAAGGGAATTGAGGGCTTGAACGCTCTATTAGAACTTATCGCGTTCTAGTTTATATATTAATGTCTGTGTTTCGTTTTATCAAAAACCTTATACAGAATTATATTGTTCGACAAGTCTCTTGTAATCGATAATGTCAATTATTGTTTAGAGTCGTTGGCCTGACATTTGTAATGTCCCCAAAAAGGCTACAACGAGGGAGCAGCGTAAGAGGAAGTGATCAGGAGCCGATTACTTAATCGGCTCCATGAAGTGATCTATTAGTAAATAATGTGTTTAAGGCAGTAACATTGAGGGTATAATTATGTTAATGACTCACAAATCAGTCGTAGCACGTAAAGGTTTGCTTGTTGCAAGTATATTTTAAATTACCTTAAACTGAAGTACGAACCACTTAACGTACATGTAAGAACGTGACAGCTCTCGTGTTAGACTGTACACCTTAACCCTGACCCACCCTCGCTAGGGGGTGGGAATCCTTTTCTGATCCCGGAAGCCCATAGTTTATAAGCCCCCGGCTTCTATGTAGGCTTCCTTGCCTTTAGCACTTTAAAGATTTGATCTTGTAAACAACAGACCTTGTCACGGTTTTGGACGCCATCTTGAAGTGTAGGCAAATGCGTGAGAAATTACAGTATTTGTATGAGAATCTAATGTCGAATAATTTCCGTAGAATGGAGCTGTTCTGAAAAAAATATCAATTGTCAACTAAAGCTTCACTCCTAAGGATTCTACTAAAAAAGAATTGAGGGCGTTACATGCGCTAGAAGACCTAGAACCACTTTTTAAAATTTTCTATACATTTGTCTGTAAGAAAGTCCGGGGAAAAATTACAGACAAATATATGGAAAGCTAAAGCAAGCCTCTGGAGAATTTAAGCACAGGTACGCCCCCCAACCCCCCCCCCCCTCCAAACAAAAAAAAAAAAAAAAAATACAAAACATTTATAATTTAATATACCAATAAAATTTAATTATTTAACATTTTTTACAAATTGTATTTATCTTAAAAACAAAAATAACTATAAATTTAAATTATAATAAAAAAAAATTGGTGGGGTTAAAATAGCCAGAAGCTCTAGAACCACTTTTTAAAATTTTCTATACAGTTGTCTGTAAAAAAATCCGGGGAAAAATAACAGCCAAATATAAGGAAAATCCAAAGAAAGCCCCTGGAAAATTTAAGAACAGGTACGCCCCCCAACCCCCGCCCCCCGCCAAAAAAAAAAAAAAAAAATTAGCGCAATCCTTTGCTTTGTAGCTTTAGTTTACAATTGATATTTTATTGATTATTTCAGAACAGCCGTTTTACGGAAATTATTAGACATTCAGGTTTTCATTCAAACACTGTAATTTCTCACACGTTTGCCTACTCTTCAAGATTTAGTTAGAAATGTGTATTATCTTTAATGTATTATAAATTTCTGTATACTGTCGATTGAAAAAAAAAAAATAAAAATAAATTAAAAAAAAGGAATGAATGGATGGATGATTCGATTGTCGAAGCGATTGCAAAGTCTCAGCAGTTTAGTTCACTGCCGAGTGGGCGGACTTCCCTCGCAAAAAATGGCGAGTGCCGTTCATTTGAAAATTCCAGAACCAGTTAACATGGTTAACATCCTAAAAGTTACCAAAATGCTGTTTTGTGGGGGTATGGTCCAGCACCCTTAAGGATCAATTAAAGCCAATGAAGAAGATGTTGCTAGAACTTCCGACCACTGAGATCAGAATTAGACTGTGTGGGCTGAAAAAGCTTAACATTCTGAACTTTCTTAACTAAACGGCTTCCTCGACACATTGAATGTCGTTAAAGTCCAGGTGCAGTGTTTGTTCAAGCTTTATACAAATATTTTTGGTAGCTCCAGGAGCTGCTACAAATCATTTGAATTGAAGAGGTATCGGTCTGTGTGAGGGGAGGGGGTGGCTTACACAAGCTAAGGAGGTATTTGTTTTGCATTACATTGCATTAATATGACAGTGCACCTTTAAGGACCAATTCTACACCGCTCGTACGTCTGACAAATATGTCCGTAACTGAGAAAGCTATTTGATAGGGAAAACCGGGAGTTGTTCAGTTAGAGCTTTGCGAACGGAAATCACTAGATTTACCTTTAAAATAAGTAATTTCCGTTGGTACTTTAATTAAATTGCCATTTGTAAAACTTGACCCAGATAGTCTTTACTGCTTCTTTGAAAAAACATTGAGAGAGTGACATAATTTTTCCCCGCAGGATCCCGGTACCCCTTTTCACTGAGATACACAGCCTCGGAAATGCGCAGTTAAAACTATCTTTTTTATTATAGTGACGTAAACAGACATCTATAATTAGTTCTAAGGATAGTTGTGCGCAATAAAACTATCCTTTTTATTATAGTGACGTCAATAGACATCTATAATTAGTTCTAAGGACAATTACCGGCCTGACGGTTTGTCTGTTCCAAGTTAAGAGGTAACCCTCCTTTGCAAAACGTGAAGTGTCTTTTAAATTGCAGTTAGAGATAGCATCCTTTTCTTTCGCATCGTTAACGAGTCTAGATTATGAATACTCTTGTTTTGGCCTCTGAACAGGATTGAATGCGATATATTTATTGACAAGGCCATTAGTGGGTGGCGGGCTAGGGTACCTTCAGAAACATAAAACCGCCTGTTTTTCTTGTCAATGACATTGACTTCCGACATATGTTACTAAGCTTAGCTTATAAGAGTGAAAGTGATTGCAAGGTTTGGTAATGATTGAAAAGGCCACATACAGTTAAAATTTGGTATAAATTCTTGGTTTGTTCGTGTGCGCTTTACCAGAAACGTAGCCGGAGTACAGATATTTTAATTCTGAGGTGAGTGAGAATAATTTAATTTAGTGCCCAGAATAAATTTTGTAGCAATCTGCAGTGGGTATGAATAGTCAACGTCAGTACTCAGAGATAATCCCAAAATCGCACTGACACAGCTCAAAATTCGTTTTCGCTGATACGTTTTACATTGATAGAATATTGTATCGTAGTTAACAAAAGAGGGTTAATTTGGTCTAATTTTTTTGCGTTTATAAGGGGAATTAAATAAAATCGGTTGGGTCCGTTTTGAACCAAAATGAACTCTTCAACATGATGAAATGAAATTTCACTTTATTCGTGGCTCTCTCAAGTTAGCGGGATAAAGCCAACAAATGATTGCTTACTATGAAGAAATAGCTCGCCCCTTGGTAAAATTTAGATATTGTTTATAGTGACAGATTGCTTACTGTATAAGATCCATGGAGAGGCACTTCGTTGCCTTTTCTGAATGGCTCCAAAGTGACATAAAAGACCTGCCTAAAAATCGGTCGGTACGCCAAAATAGATCCTCAGAATAAGCTTTCTGTATAGTTTAAGGATAGATGTTTTAGGTCTTCTTTTCATTTCTTTGAGATCTTTTTAAGTTTTTCGATACGACCTCCCCGAAGTTTGCTAATTTGCGGACTTTTCGATGACCGCCAGTTGAAACTGTGAGAAAGTACCGTGAAAAAGGAGTATTACTTTTGGATACTGATGAGTCTAAAATTATAAGTGCAAGTGAGATTTAGCTTGGTGATACACAAATGTCACTGCCTCTACGTTATTTTTAAAGCTAACGGCAATTTGGCAATGGTTTTATACAGGACTGCGATTCCATGCATGATATGGTGACATTGATTTTCTACACGTCACGCACAGACTTTTGACACCATCATAAGACTTCATCTTCACTTCGAATAACGGGTGAGCGAGTTCTGCACTGATATCTTTAGCTTTATATTCCGTTTCCTTTGGGTTTAACAGTAAGGAGGAAAGGAATTCACGAAATCTTTATTTTGACTGCTTGAAGCCATTGTGCAAATACAGAACACTTGTGAAAATAGTATATCTGTCTTCAAGATTGTCAACACGGGATTTTAAAAACAGAACTAAGCAATCAGATAAAGGTTCGGTCAGAAGATGCCTTCAAAACTGAGAAAAGTTAGATTTTGGACTGGCATAAAGTCGCTTAAAATGGGGATTAGTTTGAGACTGGCATCAACAAAATGCATGAACAATATTTCCGTATATACACATATGTTTACATTTCTTGAGGAGCTTCCGGATAATTGAATTACTTTCGCGCAATTTACAACCAGTCTTCACGGCAAGAAAACCCTCATTTACCAACAATTTTACAAAACGGCAAATCCTAGGAAATTCGGTATTCTCCATCTTTCCCACCTCTGAATACATCCCGCAAATTCCTAATTTTCCTTGTGAGAATTCAATTAGGAAGTGATCGGTCGCCTGCGTAGCAGGGGTCGAAAGGGGTAGGGGGCTAAAAAAATCGAGAGTTCACTTTCCGTTTTCCTTCACTTTGCTGGGATGGCTCGGCTCATGCCTTGTCTCCTCGATAAATTGTAGTTGACCCACTAGCTGAGATCTCTTTTCGAGCAACTGGGATCTCGTCAGCCTGTCTTCTCATACAAACACGACAAAAATTTTATAAGGATACAAGGCATGAGCAGAGCCAGCATGACTCACTTCATATCAGACAGCTTCAGTGAGTGCGAAACAGAAATTGATCTTATGGCTATATAGTCAGAGGTGTCTGCTTTCAAACACCAGAAAAGTCCATGACATGACCATTTTCCCGTTGCCGACCGCATGAGCTTGGATTGGGTGACGAAAATTTGTGTTACTGTGCAGAAAACTAACAGAATAGGTTCGGTCTGGAATCGAGTATATAGGGTTTTCGCGGAATCGACTGCGAATGAATGTATTCATTACGTTTCAATTCCAAATGAATAAGAAAGAAATAACCAAATTCGAAGTCGATTTTAAGAAATTTTTCTGTTGGCGTTTTAATCTAAGCCGGATGTTGACATATAATTTTTTTAGAGGCTAGATCTGCAAACGGGTGTGAAAAATGTCATTTTTGGTCTGAGATAGGGCCAAAATTTGAAGAACCGGGCGGCACCCCCCAAACAAGAATTCCGGGTTTATCTCAAATTGTCAAAATTTTCTGGCAGAGCCCTCTAGAGAAACTCGCTTCTTCAGCGGTCTTTGAGCTCGTGCTGTGTGGGCTAACCCCATCAGAATTCGAAAAAAGCTTCGCTGTCTCTGACTTTTCACTGTCCTGTCAGGGAAAAGTTAATGTCAAACTGAAATATGCCTGGCAGGACCTTAACTAGTAGGAAATAGAGCAATTCAAAGGTATAATCGTATAATTATGCCACTGTAACTAGTCGTGTCTTCCCACTTTCTTCCATTGCCAGCTATCTTTGCGCTTGCTACCATTGATGACGTTTGAAGTCCATCAACATAAAAAAGGGGTTTCAAATCCAACGGCGGGGGCGGGACAAGGGGGCTGGGGCTTGGGGGCAATAAAAAAGGCAATATGCAAGACATACAAGGTAGACTGTATATTGTACTTTTAGTGTACACTCTTTTAGAGCGGTTTTCATTTGAGTGTCGAAAAGTAATTGGTTTTGCACTTTCTACACGATACGATTGGCTTAAAAGATTCGCGCCACCTTTTCATCCAATCAGAAGTAAAACCAAAGCCAATTGTGACTCGCTCGCATGCATTTTCCCGCGCTTTGCGTCAGCCACATGTAATTACTTCGAGTTTTGATTGGTTCAATGTATTGTCTGTGTCCTATGTGATTGGCCAGAGTAATTACTTTGGTTTTGGTTTTACGACACTCAAACGAAAACCACTCTAACCCGGAATCCCCTTGATTTTGTACAGTGAGCGACAAGAACAAATACAGCGAATAGCAAAGGATTGCGAACCAATTTTGTTTCGCAGTAGAGGATAAGGAAATATGCTGCGCGACTTTTGGTCAGCCGAAATGGTAACAGATCTGGTAACGAAAAAGAAGGAGAGCAATACTGTTAGTTACCCTAAATCGTTTCTTTGAACGACCGATTAACATTTAAAATTGCAGAAAAGAAACTGTTAAGCGGGGTTTACTGTTATGAGAGTTAATGTGACTTGGGAAACAGAAAAGTGTCCTTTGTCCTTATTAACCGGTGTCCGTTTTAGGCGGGTCATTTATAGAGAAAATATATGAACTTTTTGTCGGGTCACTGGAGACTTTCTCTTATATCCGGGTGTCCGTGGAGCGAGGTAGTGTATCATATACTTTTCAGTTATTTCTAGATGTGTGTGTGGGGTAAAGTTAAGGCTGAGCTCATTTTCTTTACCTGTATAACTTTAATTTGAAAACTTCAGCCTCTGATTTTGAACGTTTTCCTAATAATGATTCGCTTTTCTTAAGTTAGGAAAGTTTCTTAGAATGCCAAGAAGAATTTTGAGGAAAATTCCCTTTCGGGTTCATTTGTCATGCGTATTGCATGACACATGGAATAATGTTATAAAAGATGCTGGGTCATGGAGAGTTTAAAGCGCCCATGGAATGAGACAAAGGGCCTGTTTACACGGAGGTGGAGGACACCAGGTAGGTGAGGTAACATGTGACCGGTCACCCCACCTATCATGTAAACGTAATCAAGTTAAAATGAGAGATTATATGGACAGGCGGGTTACGCCACCTAAGCGGGTTACCTCACCTACGTGGAGTCCCCCACCTCCATGTAAACAGGCCCTTATCGTACTAAAAATGAAGCGGGTAAGTGTTAACAACTCAAGCGAAGGGGAAGGGTATACAAGTGAGATTTGGCGAAGCACGTTGGAGTCTAATGGGCTTTTGGCCTAGTCGCAGCGCGAGGTCACGCAGACGGACGCGATAGCAAACAGTTACCGCCGAAGTCTGGTGGGTTCCTTGTTGCTTTTCTTTATATCGGACTTTTCTACAGGTGAATTTGGTCTGTCTAAAAGTTTATTAGAGATTTTTATAGTGATAAGTGGTGAAACTATGTGCCGTTTGATTGTAGCGGTGACCTTCGTTTTGCCTGTCTCCGTGATGTAAGACATTTCAACATGGCGGAAGGCGAAATTGTGCTCACTTTAAGAAGTATTTGCCAAAAAAGTACAAAAGGTCCCAAACAAATAAAGTTGTAGAAAGTTAAAAGATGACCAAAAGGTTTTCTGGTGAGATTCGTTGCGTACCGCGGCATGTTCTGACATGTTTGTTTTGACGAAAGCCACACAACCAAATTCAGAAAGGATGTTGGTGTGCTTCTTCAAAAATCATATATTTTTTTGTGAGCAGCGTTAGTGGGCTGTTTTCGGAATCAATGGACTAAAGTAACTTTAGTTTAACTGAATATTCGTAAAGATACTCTAGAAAGATGGACTAAATGACTGAATAACCTTGTGAAAGTTGGCAAATTTTAAGGTAATAACCACGAAAAATACCGTTTAAAGTTAAAATTAAATTTCTTTCAAACGAAACCTTATTCATTCAAATAAACTTTGAAATCATCTGTATAGTACCTGAGCCTACAAATGAACAAAGTATAAGCGAAATCAAATTTTGAGCTCTGTCCGCGGCCCGATATTTGAATTGATTCTTACTGGCATCTCCTCTTAATATTTAATGGCACGCAACTTGCTGTTATCTAAGCAAACTGCATGTAAGCAAGGGGCAGTAAGTATAAGGAAATCAATCTATGGGTTGAAATCTTTTTCGTGCTATCTTTCCTTGCTATGATCGCGTCCACCCTACAAGGTCTGAAATACTTGGCTCTTCAACACTGAAAGTAATTGCCAATTACTTATTAATTAAGTAATTGTTCCTCTTAGAATGGAATAACCTGCTATTTATACTAAAAATGATTTCATTGGCATTATAGAAAGTTGCAAATTGTTCAAATCCTAAAGTCCAATAAAGGGAGGCATTGACTTTCGATCTTGCCCCTTTGTATTACTACGCGGGTATCGCCGTTTCAAATCATTTGTAAATTGTAGCCAATTCGAGTTTTTTTGATTTTTGATTTTTTTTTATGGGGGAGGCTGATTCCATGCTGTTGCATTGTCTATATCAAAGAACATAAATGTCATTAGCGTGCATTAATTGTCTGGACAACACAGCCTCATAGGTGGGACCTGTTTTTGAACTGATTTGTGCAAAACGCGATTCCCTGGCGAAATTTAGGCCAGTCCTTAACTTTGCTTAGCATTTGCCCAATCCGCGAACCGACCGCTCTGCCGATGCAAATTTCTTTATATATATCGATCCGAATGTCGAGTTCATCAAATATAATAAATAACTGTCAGTATTGAAGACGAATTAGTAAATTTATTTAGAATTTACTATCTCCACAGAGTCTCGCCGTGTGACTTGATCGTCTGTTACATGTACATCCCGCGAGTGATCTCTCAGTTTAGAGGATATTGACATCATAAAAGACACAAAGAATTGGCCTCTAATTCAAGTAGTTTTAAAAACAAAGAAGAGACAAAGACATTGATGATAATGAACTCCAAACGTTTCTTCATCTTTATTACCTTGTGGCTCATTGTTAGCATCGTTCTGTTGGACGAGACTACGGGATTTGAAGGAGATAGAAGATTGCGACGACGACTACTACGACGTCGTCGAAGAGTAGGAGGAAAGGCCAATTTGATCTCTGACGTATGTATATACATTTTTTGTACAACAAAGTGTGGACAAGATGCTCCCTCTGTCTCTTTCACTTATTAGATATTACACCAGCGACAAGCGTTGTCAAGTTTTTAAGATGTTGGGTAGAAAATAGTACTCCCCACTCTCTCCCAAACCAAAGTTAGTCGTGTTTCAGGTGGTCATTTTCTCGGACAGCTGTGGCCAGTAAAAGAGAAACAATAACCAACCAAAAAAAACAAACAACAGCAACAAAAGAAAAACAACAACAAC